CCTTTCAACTTATTTTTATGTATGGAAATAAAGGGTTGAGGTTAATTTTTTATATACAGATACCAGGTGTTCTAGTGCCATTTGCTGAAAACACTATCTTTTCCTCAGCTCTTGAATTGAGTTTATATTCTATAAATGTTAATGTTATATAATCTTTCAAAACTCAGTGGACCATACATGTGTGGTTCTATTCTGATGATCTATATGTCTTTCCTTACACCAACACTGCCTTGATTACTGCAGCTTTCGCAGAAGTCTTAAAATTAGGTACTAAACGTCTTCCAACAGTGTTTTTTATTCTTTTTTTTCTATTTTTACTTTTCTAGGTCCTTTGTACTCCTACATAACTTTTAAATTTCTATATCCAATTTTTCATTTATAGCACATATACACAGACCTGAATTTTTATATATACCTTGTATTTTCTAATCCTGCTAAATTCAAATACAAGTTCTAGCAGCCCCTAGAGATTTCTTAGTATTTTCTCTGTAGATCATCATTTCATCTACATATAAAGATTTAGCTTCTACCTTGCCAATCCTATCCTAATTGTGTCATTTTATTGCCAGACTATTTTGGTGGGGCCTAGGTTTCAAAGTTTAATGGATAGACAAAGAGTAAGCATATCTGCCTTTGTTCTCCACCTTAAGGAAAAAGCATTGTATCTTCTCCATTCATATAAGGCATTCTTGCTCAAAGTATGGAGTACATGTCTTTAATCTGTTGATAAGGTTCTGTTCTACTTTTAGTCTTCTGATGGCTTTTACCATGAACAGCTGTGGAATTTAGACTAATACTTTTTCTCCAACTAGTGACAGGATCATATGGCTTTTTCTTTTCCTCTGTTAAAATGATGACTTTGGGGGTGGATCTTCCAATGCTGCACCAGTACTGCCATCCCTATAATAAAACCACTTTCTACATACTGCCAGATCTGACTTCTAATAGTTTGCTTTGTTAAATAAATTTTTACCTATGTTCATACTTTTTTCTTCTATTATCTTTATCCAGTTTTAGTATTAGCACATTGTTGATTTCCAAAATGAGGGGAGAAGTGTTCCTTCTTTTTTCTGCTTTAAATGTTTGATATAATTTATCAGTTAAAATGTATATGAGCCTGCTGTCATATAGTTAGGTTTTCAAGCTAGGAATAAACTTTCTTTAATAGATGCTATTCAAATTTTATTTTTCCTCCAGAGTTAGTTTCATTAATTTGTCTTCCAAGGTACTTCTTAGAAGTTGTCAAATTTATTTCAAAATAGATTTTTGAAATATGCCTTCTATATCCTTTTAAATTCTGTAAAATCTGTGGTAATGTCTCCTAGGTCTTGATATTTTAATTTTAAAAATATATAATGGATATTGTGTAATAGGAAGTAAAGGAGCAGGGGAAGTGGGAGGCATAGGGGAAAGGAAAGAAGGGAAAAGAAAAAATATGAAAAAAGGTAAAAATTGGAAACAAAATCTTTGCAAATAGGGAAGGGTGGAGAGGGTGAAGGGAAAAAAAATAAGAACCAAGATACTCATGTAATGATACAAGATCCCAATGATGTATATAACTGTATTTTATACCTAAAATGTACCAATAAACTTAATGGGGAAAATATATAATTATTCAGTAAAAACCTACTATTGTTTCAGTCATATTCCGAAAGGCAAAGCAGTGATATGACTTGCAAAAATGAACTGAGCAAATTATGGATTATAATACGTTAGTCATTAAATACCATAGTCCGCTTCTCTCCCAGTCTCTAGCTTTGGTTTCTCTGGTTTCAGTTACTCATTTCAACCACAGTCCAGAAAGAGTAAATGAAAAATTCTAGAAATAAAAACTCCTAGGTTTTAAATTTTATCCATGCTGTCCTGAGTAGAATAAAATTTGCATCTTCTCTCTCCATCCTGGCTATAATGTTGATGATCTTTTCAACCAGGTAGCCACACTGTATACACCTGCAACCCATATATTAGTGACTTAGTGACTTAGACATCTCAGTTATCAAAGTGATGTGGTACTGCAATCTGTGTTCAAGTAACTCTTTTATTGCTTAACAATAGCCCCAAAGTGGAAGAGAAATGTTATTGACTTTGAGTGTATTGTTATAACTGTTATACTTTATTATTATTATTAATCTTTTACTGTCTAATTTATACACAAAAATTTATTATAAATATTCATTTATGGGAGAAAAAAATGTTAGCATATTTAGATTTTAGTACTATTGGAGGTTGTAGTCATTCATGAGGGATATCTGAACACATCGCAAGGAGATCAGCGAGGAAAGACTACAATAATTAATAAAATTATATGAAACACGCAATCATGGTAATCATAATTTATTGACACACAGGTCAGACAAGATGTATATAGCACATTTTTAAGTTTTATTGAAGGCTACTTGTCAGTTTTCTCAACATGACTCACTGTTGGGAATTTACTCTATTGATATGTTTACAAATATTCAAAGCTTTCCACATTCAACATATTTAGTTCTTCATTTTCAGTAAAAGAGAATAAAATTTAAAAATCTGTCAAAAGTAGAATTCTGAAACAGAATTACATACATGTGAAAAAATATTATATAGCTGAGAAAAGAATCTGAGGAAGTTACCCAATATTCTTACAAGAAAATCCAGCAAGAGGCATGTACTGATTCAAATTTTTAGAAATGTATATTGAAAATCTGCAAATAAGCAACAAATTAATAAAAGAGAAACTCTCAACTGGAGGACTGAAAAGACACAGTTGTGTGAGTAACTGTACTAGTAAGATTTTTAGCTTTCCTTTCTGTGTCTATATATACATAATGAGAGTTATCAAAAACTAGAGTGTGTGTTTAAATTTTTAAAACAATTATTATACTAAAAGAGAGATTGTTATTAACCCCCTCACAATATTTCTCTTCACTTCCAACACAAATTATCCCATCATTGATGCCAGTTTTTGAAGCAGTTTCAGAAGTCCTCCCTCATGAGTGTCTTTAGTTTCGCTGTTCAAGCTGCCTCAATGTACCAAATCCTTTCCAAATCTTTACCTTCCATTCATTCTAGCTTTGAAGAACAGCCAGGAGTTGCACAGTGCCAGTTCCTATAAATAAGGTGGATTAGGATATGCCATAATATTTTTATCATCCTTTCGATTGCATGACACTCAAGCAGCAGCATGCACTGTATTTTTGATCATACCTCATAAAGAAACTCAAGGGGATTAATAACAATATGTCTTTTACTGTAATAATTTTTAAAATTTAAGCATTTATCATCTTTTGTATGATCACTCCTTCTGTATGCACATGCATTCATGTCAGTATGAAGTATGTACATGTAATATACATATGTATTTACGTATATATTTTAATAAATACCTATACGCTGAAAAGTGGCTTACAAACTCTGAGACATTACATTCTGATAACAGCATGTTTTTGTTTTTGAAGAGCTTTTCTCTCATTGTTAGGCACACTGCTTTTTAGTAATAAACTGAAAATATGTGCCTGATGATTTTCAGTTCTTCGCCAGAACAGAGAAACCAGTATCCTGTGTCTGGGAAATCACAGTTAATTATTTGATATTTTAATCTTGCCTTTATTTTCCTCTTCCCAAAATGTAACCGAATAAGTACATGCAGTTCCTGAGAATCCGGTCTCTAATTTTCTGATCTAATTTAGATGTTTATAGGATAAAAGAATGCTTGTAGTGCTTTTAAATTCAATTATGGGTTAAACGGGAGCAATGAAAAGACTGCACTGGCTCTAGTATAAATTACCTTCTCTCTGCAGGAGGAGCATTATCCGTTGCTTGGACAGTGAGCGCGTAAGTCTGCCCGACTATCAGTTCCACCCCAGGAGCGACGGTGATCAGCCCTGTTGTTTTATTGATGATGAAATCTCCCTGAGCCCCGACCAGGATTTCATATGTGATCTCTCCATTTGACCCTTCATCTGCGTCAACTGCAGTGAGCTGAAATTGAAAATCACAGCATAAATCCTCTTGGGACTCAACTCTTTACCCTTGTGTCATTTCTCCCCCCCAAAAACATAGGAAGCTTGGTTTCAAAGACAAAACATGAGAAAGATTTCTTGTCAAATATGCCCTTGTTTTCTCAAATTGAGGCTATGGTGTACTGTTATCACACATCAGTTTAGGAAAGACTTTTTTTTTTTTTCTTTTTTGAGAGCGACAAGGAAAAACAGTGTTGGATACTATAGAATAGCTTTAATTCCATAAAAGAAAAAAAATAAGGAAAATCTTATCATAAAATCTAGTATTCCTACAGGAAATTTCACATTATTTTCTACCTCATTCCTGTTCTTCACATAAACACACATATTACTACCATCTGAAACTAGAAAAAATATAATAAGCAAAGTTAGTTTGCCTTTATTACTGCCAGCTTTCTCTTTGTTCTGTTATTTTCCATCCTAATGTTCTCCTGCCTTATAATCTTGTTCATCCTGATTATAAAGGACAAATAAGACCTAGAGTTTTACAAAGAAGCAAATGGATCTCTAATTATAAAATAGCAAGCCTAACCTAACCTAAGAAACACCTTTTTGAGAAAAGACAATATATTCATAGCCCCTAATATGACTTCAAATGCCTATAGAGCTAATAATATGTGCACATTCATAATCATTTTGAGGCAACTGGTATCCAATAAAGAATATATCTGGGTCATTTTATATGAACAAATAACTATTAACTCTATAATGAACATTTATTATTTACTATGTTTATAATTCTCCTTGACTTCCTGAAGCATGTAAATTTACTAAAGACGGTGAAAGAATAAAGATGGATTCTAGAAGGAAATCATATCATATGCCTATATACATTCATAGAGTCTTCTGTTTTTAGCATACCAAAATTGATATACAGAGGAAAAAGGAGGGAGGGCTCACATTACAGAGGGAAAGACAAAAATTTCCTTCTGAGTAAAGAAAACATATAATTATAATAAATTAACATGTGGAGATGTTTTAAGTAATTACATTTTCTCAGGTATTTCAAATCTTTCTGTTTTACTTCTATGAAGTGATATTTTGCTATACTGGAAATCTGGTGAACATTCTGGTACAAAAGGTTTAATAAAATGTGAATTTTCACATTTACCTTGACAATTCAATTCAGTGTCAAGGACGCCATGTTAGTTAATGGCCCATTTAAAGATTTGGATTTAGTATCCTCAAGAAATGTAAACATATACTATATCATGCTTAAGGAAATATATGTTGCATGTTCTATTTCTATTTGTATTATACATTACATTTAGAGTGATAATGTGGCAGAAATAGCAGTAGTAAAAATAATTGAAAAGGCAAAAGGAAATTAATGTAGCTAAATTCTGACATTGGTTATTTTAAGGTAGACAGATGTGGCTGCCAGGAGAAAAGGCATTTCATGAAAGGATTCTGGAATTTATCTGGGTATGACAAGCATAGATCTGAAGGCAAAGGAGAAGGAAACTATTTGAAGAAGCAATCAAAGTAAAGAAAAATATTTATGGAGAATTTTTTAAGTCAAGCAAGTCTCTTTGTCCACGCATAAAGTTAGAAAACCAGAAGGTGGGGGAACCAGAGGAGATATCAATTTTGATTATAATAAATCACTTAAACAAAATGTCTCAGGAAATCTTAATTAAAATTTAGCTCAAACTGGATTCAATATTAACATTCTTCCTGGGATTAAATTAGCTAAAGGAATTTAATGATAAATGACAACTCATCAAGTTACAGAGAGATGTTGAGAAGTGTGCTTCAGGGACGTAGGTATTATGGCTAGTCTTATTTAACATTTTCATAAATGAGGGTGGAAGGAAGGATAAGCTGGGTGATAATTAAATTGAGGAAGGCACCCATCTGGGATGTGCTGTAAATACCAGCAGTGCTGCAAAGTACAGGCAATGGAAACACCCCTGAAATTTCAGAGCCATTCAACCACAGATACGTAAACATGTTCAGGGAACACAACTAGCTACCAATAATCTATTAGCAGGTGAAAAGTTTTTTAAACAATTGATTATATCTTTAGGTTAATAGCTTTATACTGTTTAGCCTTTTAGTACTAAATAATAAAGAATCAACACAATTTTGCCTATATGCAAACAAAATAATTTGAAGAAATAATTGGTAGTTGAGGATTAGAAAAAGAAACAATGACTCTGAATACCTAACCGATATTAATATCTTCTGTGCAAGAAACTGATTACACAACTCATGCTTTTAAACGTCAGTGATACTATCGAAGAGATGCTCCCTTTGTAATCTAGGGTATATTTGGTAGAGCTTTAAATGCTGATTTTGTGCCAAATTATGGTGAGGACTTAATTTAATGACAGCTATACAAATGTGACCAGTGTCAATAAAGTATATGCATATGAACCTCATTTCTAATTTAGAGAAATCTGCCTCCTAAGTTAAAAGTGGATGAGGAAGGGGTTGATTGACATGGTGCAGTCAATGTGGCATTTGCATGCCTCATTTGAAAGTAAAAATAACCCATTTTAAATTTTTTTAATCATTAAGATATCTAAATATGAAAACATAGAGCTGTTTGTCTATGCATTTCTCTTTTAGGATGTATAGCTGTTCTTTTTATGAGATTTAATCTTATCTATCAAAATCCCTTACTAATATTCAAATATGTGCTTATTCCAGCTGACCCCATCCTTTCTTCACTCTTGAAAAATAAATAAAGCCTTCTTTTCCCCTACTTTCCCTTCTTAAATCTGCCTGCAGTTCACTTCTCTCTTCAATTGCTATTTCATGGTTCTGAGAAATGGGAAATATGGTTTTATGTGAAAGAACAAATAATGTGAAAGAAAAGTGTACCAAGCTGAAAAAAAAACATTCAATCTGGAGTCTCAAACATGACAATTGGAAAGAATAAAAGGCATAGTTCATACATAAATAACTCTGAGACCACAAAGGATAATGTACAAGTAATTAACATGGTATTTTATATGAATACATTTTCAGTAGAAATAAATTGTGGCTTAGTTTAGAATGAAATACGTGTGGTGTACTTGGTGCTCTCACCATCCACTCTCACCACTGCTTCCTATACACCTCATCTAAGATTAAGTGCCACACAGAATAAAACAGCACCGGGAAATAGAATTTCGTTGATGACACACTGTTCAGTTAGGCCTGATGCTAAATTTTCTAGTGAAAACTCTTGATACATTACTCCAAAATTCACTTTAAAAAAGCTAATTTTAAAGTCATTTCAAATGTAACAATTCTGAATTTTGTACAAAAGTTCTATAATATTTTTCTTGGTTTTGGTACAATTTTGATAGACATCATTAAGATAGAGATATCATTAATGTACATTAAGACATTGGTGTGTGGTGCCATATGATCACTCATAGATGAAACTAGCTTTAACACATAATTATTCATCACAATGAGCAAAGACTTTATTGTGCCTTTGAATAGAAATTAAAATGAACTCTAAGAATAATAAAAATATAGTCGCAAGTAAATATTTTCTCTGCTAATTGGTGCACTTTAATAAACAATAATTAACTTATAACTGAGAATATTTAAAAATATATAGTTTTGCAGAATGGACTCTGGATTGGTGGCATGCTAAAACATGTAAATCTGAGTTGAGAAAAGTCTAGAAAATAGGGCATTCTTTTCAGAAGGAGAGAGCTTTAGAAGTAAGAAGCAGCTGAGATCACTTAGTAACAATAATAATAATAGAATTAAAATCTAAACTTAAAGTAAAATAACCACTGGGAGGAAAATATTCATCTCAAAATAATTGAGGAGTACCCTCAATGGTCTCAGAAAATGTGGCAGTAACTAAGCATAAGTTAAAATTGGTAAATAAAACTTGCCCTGTGGAGTTTTTTTGGAGTTTCCTCTCAATCAGAGACTTTTTATTATAATAAAAGAAATTCATTTAGACAAATATGACATATACAATTAAAAAGAACATAAGAAACAATAAATGATTAAGAGAATAGATTTGAAAGTCTGTTGGGGATATATTTAAGATAAAAAATTAAAGATGAGAATAGATTTGAAAAAAACAGATTAAGAGCAATTTGGGTTAAAGGGAAGGGTGTGTGTGAAGACAATGAATTACAAGGAAAATAATAGAGTCATATGCTGCATAATGTTTTGGTAGACAATGGACATCATAGACAATTGTGGTTTCATAAGATTATAATGGAGCTGAAAAATGGCTATCACTTTGAGATGTAGCCATGGTAATATTACAATGCAATGCACTGTGAACATGCTGGTGGTGATGCTGGTGTAAATAAACATTTGCACTGCCAATTGTGTAAAAGTATACTACATGTAGTTATTTATGTTCATATATAGTAGTTGGTAAAGTTAATAAATGACTACATTACTGGTTTATGTGTGTATTATTTGTACTATATTTTTATCATTACTTTAGTATGTACTCCTACTTAAAAAAAGTTTAGTAAAACAGCATGCCGTGGTATGTCAGCAGCAGCCTCATACATCTTTTAACCATATCTCTTCATGTCATATAGAGTGACTTTTACCATTTAGGTTTTCATATTCATAGTCATGCTGTTCGCACAATGACAAAATTGCAAAAAAATGTATTCCTCACAATGTATCCCTGTCCTTATGAAACACAAGAGTCTACTAAAGCATTATTAGAGAGGCTGAACTTGATGAACGGGGAAAAGATTAGGCCATCAAGCATGGCAGAGACAAGGAGAGGCAAGTAGATAAAGATTTTCATACACTATGAAAAAAGACTTTGATATTCACAACCAGAGTAAAAATTAAAGAAACTACATGTTTTGATATCTAATATACATAAGAATATCTCATTATAATAATATTCTCATAATATTCTCATTTTGTGGTTTGTTTTGTTTTGAATTGAGGGAAAAAGTGCAGAAAAAGCTGGAGAAAGTGAGATGATTTTATTTTATTATTATTATTTTATTTATTTTCTTTTGG